TCTGGACCTAGCTCCTCAGGAATTACTGGTAAGTGTTTGAATCTCGAATTTAAATTATGCAAATGTCGTTGAATCTATGTGCTTATTATTGAATCAGATAAGTTGTGTGTATGACAGGTTCAATTTTTATGTGACATGCAAAAGTTGTTTGTGTTATATTTTGACTGTGTTGTTGTTGTTGTGATGTTTTTGTTTACAGAAACAAGTCGTGAAGAAGGATGTGTATCAGGTTTTTGCTGAGAAGGTGAGAGACCATAAGGAGCTGGTTTCTAGATGGGTTGTTCTACAAGAGACACGGGTTGAGTATTTCAGAGGGAAGGATTTTGTGAACTTCTTGAAAAATCATCCAGAGGTCAAAGGCATTCTGGAATCAGATAGGAATTTAGAAGCAGAGGACATTGCCAACATTTTACTTGAAAAGAATCTTTTAGTGCGCTGTGATCGTGTTGTAAAAACTCTCCGTCCTGGGAAGAAAAAGTTGTCTACATGGCCTGCACATTTGGAAATTTTCCCTATAAGCAATTTTCCCTGTTGCATGGTCTAATATCATAGATTATAGTTTAAGCGATTGGGTTTTTCTGTGTTTGAATCTAACACAGTCTGGTTATCTTTGTCAGGAATAAGTATTTTCCGAAAATGACACATTTTATGCATGTGCATTTGTAAAACGCCATCCACTTTGGCAGACACTCTTATCTTTTTTCTGGCCAGTGTTAACATTGGTTATTTGCTTATTTCCGGTGTATCCTCCTAGCTGCAAGCTTTTAGTAATTTACTCGTGTGGTTGGATCCTTATTGTCTTCTTCTCTCTACTGTTGAGTAAGCTATTCTTTTTCCGTATTGTTCGATTGCTCTTTACCAAATTTCTTCACTTCTGTATATAAATATCCTTATGGACTGTTGCAAAATTTCATATCTCAAGCCAATTATATGTTGCAGTACTACACCGTGTATATAACTACATTTATTCATTCTCCAATGAATATTTAATAATGAATGAAGGAGAGAAGCACTACTGCGAGAGTTTTTCAGATTTGTAGTTTCAGATTTTCGATCTCCTGAACTTCTTCTAGGAGCCACCGATTATTATGTAGGCGTGGACCTGTGGAGTGCTGGATGTATCCTTGCTGAATTGTTGGCTGGAAGGCCTATTATGCCTGGTCGAACCGAGGTAATCTCTAACACTAATTTGAATTTGCTGCAGTCACAATAGTTAGCACATCAGTGACCATTGGATCGAGATCAGGTGATACAGAAAGCAAGCAATTTCATACTATAGTTTCTGATATAATATGCTTTCATGCTTCATAGGTGGAACATTTGCATAAGATATTTAAGCTATGTGGTTCTCCTTCTGAAGAATATTGGAGAAGGACAAAGCTACCACATGCTACCATGTTTAGCTCAATTTAACCGTGGAAAATTTGAGAATCTTTGTTTTATTTAATCCATCTCACAATCTTGCAGACATTCTTGACTTACTAAAGTGTCAAGGAAGCTACATTTCTATATACGACCAACCTTCTTATGCTCATCAAGTTAGTTCTTGATCCATTATTTACATTATACTGTTATGGTTGGTAATTGGTATTCTTCAAACACTTGATGAGATTTTCCTTTTGAATTTTTCTTGAAGGATCCAATTCTTGTATGTATCAAAGCAGCAACAGATAAATTATCCAACTCAACAAGTTTCCTTCAGTTTTTGGGAAGACATGCTTTTATCATGCAGCAAGAGGAACTATCACCATCTCCGCCCGAAGAAAACACTATTGACGAAAGATATCATTTTATGTCGCTTCTTTTGAACTTGGCAAGCACATTTTTGTACACGGTCAATACTTACATCGTTGTACCTATGGCCGACAACTACTCTTTGAGCCTCGGAGCTGCTGCAAGTGTTTGTGGCGTCGTCATCGGTTCAATGGCTGTTGCACAGGTGTTTTCTTCAATTTATTTCAGCGCGTGGTCAAACCGATCATATCTAAAACCTTTTATATTCAGTACCATTGTTCTTCTAATTGGAAACGTCATGTATGCATTGGCCTATGATCTTAACTCAGTAGCAGTTCTTCTTATGGGATGACTTTTCTGCGGGCTAGGCTCTGCAAGGGCTGTGAATAGGCGTTATATCAGCGACTGTGTACCGGTGAAGCTTAGGCTGCAAGCATCAACAGCTTTTGTTAGTGCAAGTGCTCTTGGAATGGCTTGTGGTCCAGCTATTGCTTGTTTGTTACAGACTGAGTTTAGGATTTACAAGTTGACAATGAACGAAGACACACTACCTGGATGGGTAATGGCTGTTGCATGGCTCGTTTATCTACTTTGGTTGTGCACTTGTTTTAAGGAACCAAAAAATCTTTGGGCTTATGAATCAGAAACTGGTATGTCTATGTCACCTAGGTTCTTCGTATTCATTTTTTTTATACGGTATTACTTTTATTTACGGTTCTCTAAACGCATATAGGAGAACAAACATTGCATATTGCAGTAGAGAATAGTCCTACACAGCCATTACTAACGAATTCAGAAGCAAAAGAGAAAGATGTAGATATAGATGAAGAAAAAGACGACGACGACGAAGAAGCTTATGATAAAACTGAATCTCAAAAACCTGTTACTTCTATTGCGTTGGTGTATAAGTTGCTTACACCATCAGTAAAGGTAAGGAACCTGTTATAATTCTTCTTGCTTTCTTAACTTTCTTCAATTATTTGAAGTTTGATTCAATCTTTTGCACTAACTATGAATACTTTTACTAGGTTCAATTGTTTGTGTATTTTATGCTCAAGTATGTAATGGAGATATTGCTTGCTGAATCAAGCCTTGTAACAGAATACTATTTTGTTTGGTCAACAACCAAAGTCGCCGTTTTTCTTGCATGTCTTGGTCTTATTGTCCTTCCTGTGAATATTATTATCGGAAGCTACATCAGCAACATTTTTGAAGAAAGGTAAACCTTGAAATTTATATTATTATTACAATATTTTTTTGACTTTAGACAACAGAAGAATAGACAACGACTTAAAAGCCGTTATCTAGGGGTTAATAGGCCACACTTTTTTATCCTAATTACAAATTCATATTAGATCTTTACTTGTTGGTTGGCTTGTATTTGCAGGCAAGTTCTACTAACATCAGAAATCATGGTTTGCATTGCACTACTCCTAAGTTTCGAAACATTAATCCCTTATTCAGTAACTCAATACGTTGGATCGGCTCTTATCACTTTTGTCTCTGCCGAAGTTCTTGAAGGTATATATTATTCTCATATTAACCTGAAGTTTTCTCTATGAACATGGCTTAATATTATGGTTTTTGCATGAACAATCCAGGAGATAACCTTTCCCTTCTATCGAATATGATGTCATCGCGGCTTTCTCGTTGAACCTTTAATGGAGGATTACTGTCAACGGAAGCGGGAACTCTAGCTCGAGTTATTGCAGACGGTACAATAACAATCATTGGGTATTTCAGCGAAAGTAAGTTACTGAATGCCACTCTACTCCCTGCACTACTCATCTGTATCTCATCCATTGCTGCTACCTGTTGCACCTACAACTCTCTGTATTAATATAAAGTAGTAGTTACCATTTCCATGAAAACCAGTGATGTATAAATATATATAGATACTGCAAACTTTCAGGAATTTTTATTTCTTAACCTTATTTGTAGTAAATCAATATCTATTTAATGAAATATCAGTCTAATTCCATCTAGTATAATTTCATCAACATATACTAATAGAACAATGAATTTATCACCTTGTATGAGGGTGAAGATAGAATTTCATCAACATATAATTTGTGTGATTATCCAACAAAAAAAACAACTTCTTAGGTCGGTTAATTATACCTGATTTAAGAAAGTAAGTTCTTAGGTCGGGTATAAATGGTTTTTGCAGGCTAGACTTATTAAGTCGGTTTCTGTCTAACCGACCTAATAATAGTTTGTTAAGTCAGGTCCACAACCGACTTAAGAAGTCAAAACTTCTTATGTCGGTAATTCTTAGGTCGGGCACGGACCCGACTTAAAAAGTCATTTTTAACCGACTTAAAAAGTCATTTTTAACCGACTTAAAAAGCCTTTTTTTCCACTAGTGCAAGTTGTCCCCTTTCTTATTTGAGTGCTCCTCTTTTGTATTGGACGCCATTTCTTCAGATATATCACCTGCATCCTTTACATTTGCATCCATAGCGCATGATTGTGTGAATAACGTACATTCGGTCCACAACGACACATAACGAGTCGTCAGAATTAACTGTGCTCCCTGAATTTCAAGATATCAAACTACCTATTTCGTGAGTGGTTACTGCATCTTAGAAAGTTATGGATCCAATCCAACATGGCTATAAATACCTCAACAACACAATAAAAGACGACCTAACTCCAATATTAAAATGCATGTATATATACACAGTTTTTCACCCCTACATAAGTTTGCTCTCAACCTCACAACAAATTTTATAACTTTTGACAGCCTTTAATCATTAGGAGTTTAGGTGTATTTGTACTTTTAACAAATACAACTATAAAAGAAGGAGAAGTAATCTTTGCACTATCAGATAACATAATTTATATGAATTAATGTCTCTTTGACATAGACAAAAACTTTATTTTCATTCTCACCAAAGACTCCAACACAGAAATTGGATCCAACTAATATTTTCTAAAATTTTCTTCAAGTTCAAAATTATTTTTTTAAAAGATGAAATTAAATAATAAAAAAGGTAAAATTATTATTTTTTTAATAATTTGTATAAATAAAAATATAAATGCAACGGTATATGGTAAAATTTTCACTTAACATTAATATCCCCATTTGTTATAAAAAGTGGGTTTTATTCAAATAAAAAATTCAATTAAGGTGATTTTCTTGTTAAAGAACTTTTTTTTCCTCCCATTTATGACAAAACTTACATAAAGGAAATACAGATAGGAAAACACTAATCAAACATAAATAAAACCATCATCGACCTATCTCGAGAACATTCAATGATCTAATATCCATTAGATATTGATTTGGGTGTTGAGGTGAAAACGAAAGGTCCTACAGTATACAAACTCATCTTCTTATCATTGAGCAAGCGATAAGAATGAAGCTCAGCACCACTAATCCCTTTGTTAAAGTCAGTGGGATAATTGCAGTTTTTCAAAGGAGATGCATCAAGGAAAGTTCTGCACTCTTTCAACACCCGTTTTTCTGCAACGAGCTCGAGTTGAAACAATGTTGCAAGGAAATAGCCTTTTACATCGGTTGCATCACTTAAGAAAGTGAACGGTGTTGTTTCAAACCCATATTCATCATCAGCTTCACATGTTGAAAACAGGTTGAGTTCAAAAATATTAAAGATGACAAATTTATACATGAATTAATGCAGGAAATTTTCTTTAACAATGCATATGTCCTGAACAAAACAATTATTGATTTATATCTTCAACTGCATGGCAGCTAGCTAGGGAACATATATTCTCAACCATTCAACAAAATATTAAAATATTGTGCACGAATAATATAAGGTTGGAGAAAGTTTCATTTTCTTTTATTTCTCTTCATTTGTTATTTTAAGTATTGTTTTATTCTTATTTTTAAATTTATAACAATGTTGCTAGTGTATGGAAAGCAAATGATATGCCAATGAAATTTGTGTTTCAATGAATGAATTAGTTACATGCATTTTATGGATGTGACAATGAGATAATTGAATTTTTTTTAAAGAATTTTCAATTTTAAATGATTTAATTGAAATTAATTTAATTTAAATTATTTTGGTAGATGTTAAAATTATTTATGGTTAAAATTTTGAGGTCATTTTTATAAATTTTAAGATTTTTAGTAATTTTTTTTAAAAATTTAGAGACTGACTTATAAACTGGTTATTTTTTCTTTTCCTCTTACTTTTGCTTATGAACCTCCAATTTCAAATGCTCAAGATACTATTTCTCTAATCAACCAAGCAGATTTCTATCACAAATATTCTCACATTGAATTTTTGAAATTTCAACAACTCCAATTTTTATCTCTCTCACCAATGTATTCTATATTAAAAATTCTTCACATTCTTGATATCTCTCTTCTCTAAAAACACCAAAACCTATTCAATCTTCAGCGAAACCTTAATTTTGTTCTTCGCTCTGCAATAGTTTTCGATCAACTAACACTTCCATTTACATCTTCTTGTTTCAATGCTGATTTCATATGTTTCTTTCATTAATTTATTTAGGGTTTACACATTAGGGTTTGAAAAACCTATATATAATGGTAATTTCGTGTGTGTGTATATATATATATATATATATATATATATATATATATATATATATATATATATATATATATATATATATATATATATATATATATATATATATATATATATATATATATATATATATATATATATATATATATATATATATATATATATATATATATATATATATATATATATATATATATATATATATATATATATATATATATATATATATATATATATATATATATATATATATATGAAGCCATTACATAACATAGAGAGAAAATAGTGTTAATAAAAATGATGAGAGAAGAAGAACGCAGACAATGATAAGTGAGAAGATGAACACAAATATTAATGGTAAATAGGGATTTGGCCGTCACCGTCATTTTGAAGAAAATTAAAAGCGACCATAACAAAGGGGTAAGAAGGGATAATAAAATGGAAATAAGAAGATGAAGCTTGAAAGTTGCAGAGATACCAACACCTATCGTAAAAGATTTTGCAGTTTCTATTTTAAAGGTAGGAGAGAGAACCTCATAGAAATTATAACCGCACTTTAAAAATATAGAGGAAATTATATATACGCAAATAAGAAGAAAAAATAAATGAAGCTGGGCTCATGATAAACCTTGTTTTCATTATATAATATCAATATCAATAACCAACAAATTGTGAAAATTGAACAATTAACAAAAACATTAGAACAAAAAACCACAAATTAACAAATAAATAATAAATAAAGACTAGAAATCATCATCGTACAACTTCGCAATAGACATGTTTCAATAACCATTAGGGGCTGGTTTAGCTTGTGAGGTGCAGAAGAAAGGTGCCACAGAATACAATTTGAAATTGCTATCAAGTAGACGATATGATGAAAGAGAAGCACCACTGATTCCATGATTCACATCTGTGGGAACTTTACATGTCTCTAATGGAGAACTCTCTAGGTATGCTTTGCACTCATTGATCTTCAATTTTGATCCTAGACCAGGAAGTGACAATGTAGCAAAGTAATAACCTTTACTATCTGTCACATGACTGATAACTGTTATAGGACCTGTCTCGTATCCAAGCTCATTCACACATTCACATTTAACTCGTGCAACAGCCCCTGCATAAGTAAAAATGGTAAATATATATGATTAATAATTTATCATCGCATCCAAAGTCGAAACTAATCAACCTATATTAACTGGTTTGACTTCTTAGATGAAGATCAAAATAAATATTATAAGAAATATAGCCATATAGTGTTAGTTCTTGGTGAAAATGTTACCTTGAATTGGGTAATAATTTGACCCGGATTTGCATAAAACTGTTCCTTGGACACCAATGACTGTGGGCAGTTGCACTTGGTAGCTTTCTTTTGGTTTTGGAACTTCAGAAAATGGTTTTGTGGGGAGTGGTTTATAATCTGTAACAAGTTTGGGTTTCTCAAGTTTTGGTGTTGGAACATACTCAAAATTTGTTTTGGGTTTGGGAATTTCATATTCTGGTTTGGTAGGGTTTGGTTTGTATGTTTCTTCGGACTTTGATTTTTCAATCTTTGGGGTTGGACTGTATCCATAATCTGTTTTGGGTTTAGAAACTTCGTAGTTTGGTTTTGTTGGATTTTGTGTGTAAGTTGTTGTAGATTTAGGTTTCTCAACTTTAGGAGTGGGACCATATCTATAATTTGTGTTTGATTTGGAAATTTCATTGTATGGTTTTGGAGGATTTTGTGTGTAAACTTCTTTTGATTTGGGTTTGGAAACTTCATAATCTGATTTTAATGGGTTTGTAGTGTAAACTACTTCGAACTTAGGTTTCTCGATCTTAAGGGTCTGACCATAGTTATAATCTGTTTTGGGTTTCTCAATCTTAGAGGTCGGGGCATAGTTGTAGTTTGTTTTGGGTTTATAAACTTCATAGTCTGGTTTTGTGGGTTTTGGTGTGTAAACTTCTTTGAACTTGGGTTTCTCAAACTTTGGAGTCGGAGCATACCCATAATTTGTTTTGGATTTGAAAGTTTCATAGTTTGGTTTTGGCGTGTAAACTTCTTCGAACTTGGGCTTCTCAATCTTTGGGGTCAGAGCATATCCATATTCCGTTTTGGATTTTGGAGCTTCATAATATGGTTTTGTAGGGTTTGGTGTGTATGCAACATCAAACTTGGGTTTCCCAATATTTGGAGTTGGAGCATACCCATAATCTGTTTTGGATTTGAAAACTTCATCATTTGGTTTTGTGGGATTTGGTGTATAAACTACTTCAGACTTTGATTTGTCAATCTTTGCGGTTGAACTATATCCATACTTTGTTTCAGGTTTGGGAGCTTCGTAGACCAGTTTTGTAATGTGTTTGTAATATGGTTCAGGTTTAAATTTGTCAATCTTTGGAGCCGAACCATACCGATAATTGATTTTGGGTTGAGGAACTCTATAGTTTGCTTTTGTAAAATGTGGTTCGTAATCTATTTTGGATTTATAAGCTTCATAGTTTGGTTTGGTAGAGTATGGTTTATTATCTACTTGAATGTCGGGTTTGGACTTCTCAGTGTTTTGTGTTGAACCATACCCATAATCTATAGCGGATGCAATAGTCAACAACATAAAAACAAAGATAGAAGTTGCGAAAATCAATTTATGATAAGCCATCATAAATTAATCTCTTTGTAATGTTTTAGAAAGTGCTAGTGAACAAATGCTTCAAGGTAGTGATGAGATACTAATAACCTAATACCATATCTATTTATAGAGAATAATGTTTGTCTAACAAAAATACCTAATGAATTATGAAGTATTTGAATAATTGAATGATCAAGATAATTGGTTGCACGTTGTGGCTTATAAATCACAATTTTTTTTTTTGTCTACAGAACGTGGTTGCATCGTATTTCATTTGCATGGTGTTTTCTTCCAAGATATACTTAAGCAATTTCAATGAGTGGAGAACATGTCTTGCTCTATAAATTAATACACTTATAGCAATTTCAATGGTGGATCACTTAAGTTAAACAATTTGGATTACACAACAATGAACATGTTCTTCCCACAATTATAATAGATAATTATAGGAAGTAGAATGCGACATGGATGCACGATAAAAACATGAATTGCATGTCCAAAACAATTATTGGAAGACATTACAACTACATATGGACAGCTTCCTTAACATTTACTTTCAATCATATTCAATAAAGTTATGGATAAATTATCACATTCAATAATAATCAATCATATAAATAAATTTGTAATTAGAACAAAAAAAGTTAGTTAATAAATACCACTTAAAAATGTATTTATTTATGTGATTAGTTCTATTTGGGGATTTAATAAATTACCCACAAGTATTGAATGTTAGATAACGTCTCTTTCAAATTAATTTTTTCTCATCATTTGTTAATGTTGCGTTTTAACACGAAATCTTGACATAGTAAGATAATTCAATTTTACATTTTCTAAGTATTGATTTTGAGTTAAATTGTTTGTATAATTGAATATAAATAAAATCAGAGTTTAAGTTAATGTTACCGTAGGAAACACAATATTAAAGGAGAAAGTATATTACACGCGAAAGCAAAAAATAGCGACAGTTTTATAAAATATATGATTAGATGAATATTACGGTTAACTCAAATTATTATTAATTAAAACAACTGAAAAATATAAACTGAAGCGATGGATAAATTGAGGTAGTCAATAAGTGTCTCGAACTGTATTTACGTTGTTTTGTTAGGCAAGTATCTCAGAAATTGGCCAAATTGATCGACTGGGCAGAACTTTGGTATAATTCTTCCTTTCAAACTAGTATTGGCATGACTCAGTTTAAGGCGGTTTACGGTAGAGAACCTCCTCCATTGATTAAGCATGACACCATTACTGTAGTAGTTCCTTCTCTCCATGATATGCTAGTTGAACGCGACAATATCATTCAACTGTTGAAGAACAACTTAAGCCGAGCACAACAAGTTATGAAGCGTAATGCTGATTTGAAACGACGCTTTGTGGAACCATACCGCCAATATTCAGTGGCTTTGCATCGCAACCAGAAGCTGAGCATGCGTTACTTCGGGCAATTTCCTATCATTGAGAAGGTCGGGCCTGTAGCATACAAATTTTTACTTCCACCCTCTACTAAGATCCATCCTGTTTTTCATGTGGTCAACTTGAAGTTGTGTAAAGGTGACCACACTACTCAATACTTTCCACTACCATTGCTCACCAATGATACTGGTCCCCTCTTAGTTCCTGAAGCTATTCTGAATTCACGTGTGCTCATTATGAAAGGGCAAGACATACAACAAGTCTTAGTTAAATGGGCTGATTTTCCACATCAGGATGCTACATGGGAAAATTGAGTAGAGTTCAAGACCAACTATCCCAACTTTAACCTTGAGGACAAGGTTAATTTTGATGGAGGGGGTAATGTTATGAGTGAGGGCAGAATAGTCAATACAACAACTGAATTCAATGAGAATGATGGACACTTGCCACATGATCCTGCTTTTCTAGAGCCAAGACGTGGAATGAGAGAAAGGAGCTCTAACAGAAAATATGCCACTGACTATGTTAAATAGGCCAATGATTGGTTACTAGAGAGGGAGGGAGGGAATTGAACGTGGAAGAATATGTCTCTCTTCTCTCTCTGAAGCTTATGCTTTTCTAGTACTATTCTTTAGATTTCATCTTTCCATTTCCTTCAAAGGATAATTGTATTGTTGCAATGATTATTAATACAATTTTCATCATTTTTCTACTGTGTTATAGATTCTGTGTTATATATATATATATATATATATATATATATATATATATATATATATATATATATATATATATATATATATATATATATATATATATATATATATATATATATATATATATATATATATATATATATTGCAACTACAATACATTATAATAAAACGGTTTTCAAAAGAATTAAACATGAGTAAAAAAAACATTTAGCAACTGTGTCATCTATTTTTTTACTTGTTCTTATTCACTCTCCACATAACCTTCGTTTTCAATAACTCTGCAACCGCTTCAAAAAATAAACCCTCCAACTATATGTTTATTTTTATTTTATATATTGTTTATTAATTTATATTTCATAACTTTAGCAACACACAGAAAAACAATATATAGTTCTTTTTGCATGTGAAAGAGTGGTTAACTATTCATGTAAAATTCCCGATAAGAAATTTTTATGCTAAGAAACAAGATATGACACGATTTCAAACTATTTAAAATTTAACTTCTATAACTATAGAAGAGATATATGATTTTTGACTGGTCTATTTTTTTCAAAAATATTCAATATTTTACTTTTTTTTAAATAATAAAACAATATAATTAAAATAATGCTGTAGATATTAATTTGCATCAGTTGATTCAAAAAAAAATTCATCCGTTACCAATTAGAAGAGTTGATAGTTAATACCTTTCTCTATTCAAAACACAACTACACCTTATAACTTCTATTTAACTCTTCTTCCACTAAATCAATTTCTAATAATAAAGAAAAATTAAAATATAAAAATAGGTATTCATAAATAAATTGAAAAGGAAAGTTAATATTAACAAAGATAAATGTGATTGAAAGAGATAGATTGATTTTATTTTTAATTATCTTAGTTTGAATATCTTAGTGCGTGGTTTTTAAATGTATGCCTTGTGTTGTGTTGTGTTACTTTTTGAAACTATGAGAAAAGTTGTACAAAAATAATTAATTATTTTTTACATTTACAATAGCTTATTTTGGTAGTTACATTTCTAATCATTGATGCATAAATAAATTGTATAATGCAATTTAGATGAGAGTTCTCATTTACCTATTTGTTATAACTTCCTTTGCATTCATCCATTTTTTTACTATTTTTTTAAAATATACTCTTCCAATGTTCATGACATGACATACTCTTCTTCACTTATCACTTCACCTTTTCTTCCTCCATATAGTAGTATACACATTTTAATATTCTCTTATTATTTCACAACTATCGATACAAATTTATACTCAATGCGCTACCATTATGCCCAATACTAATTTCAATTGATTTATTTATCACTTAACTCTTTCATAATAGTACTAACATCTTAAAGATAATATGGATTAAACCTTTTGTTGTTCCACAAAAACGTTAACATACGATGGAGTAAACATATCATTATTTCACAATAACATTTTCCTAATTATTCACGTCTTACATGGATTCTACATACTTTTCAATACTACCTTTCAACCTTCGGCAGTATTACAACATGATTTTAGTCATGATTTCACCTTCAATCAACAATAGCAACACCATGAAACTATCAAATGCACATTTCTAACATATTTAAAACCACATTATATGTTTTCTTCATTTTCGTGAAATTAATACTGCGTCAAACATGCTTGTGAGTATTTCGTAATAGTTTCAGTAGTTTTCTATGACAAAACTACCGTTAATTTTATGAATACCCATCACTTTCCCATCTTCAGTTTGCAAATATGGTTACACATTCATCCAGTTTTTTGAATCTATTGTACTAACCTCCATTATTCTTTTGTTCTTTAGTTAAACACAAGCTTGAAATGGAACATGCTAATGTAAAATACAAAGAAACCCCTACTTCTATTGTTAGAAAAAAGAACTATGTTTGATGAACGAGAAAAACAAATCGAGAAACGGAAACAAAGAAAATGTTAACCCCCTCTCGGCCATTACTTCAACATGTCACTCCCATTGCAAACTGTCGTTCTCGGAAAATTACACCTCTTACAACAAATATAACAAATATAAATCATACTGATTCATCTAATCATTATCACTACAAAAGAAACACTTTAAAGAGAGCAAGAATTCCTATACAACATGAAGTTAATCTTATCAACATCTTCAATAGGGTTGCACCTTCTCTTAGCAGTAATTTGGATAAACCTCATTTACAGAACCGCGCTACAACATTTTCATTTACTAATAACATTCTATCTGGAAACTACGACAACATTAACAATGATGCATATTCTAATAATGACACATCCAGCCATTCGGAATCGGACAATGCATTTGATCATAATTCTGATTCAGATGAATATGAAAACTCTCTTCCTTTAGGAAGTTCTCACCTCCAAGGTTATTTTTTTTTACCCCTTTTAAGTCCATAATATATATACTACATTACACATAAAAACCTAACATATTTCATCTAAATGATGTTGCTACTTTGAATTTACGATTTTTTGAAGTGCATAATTTTTAGATTTTAGAGATCCTCTATGGGAATGCCAATATTGTCATGCGTCTATATGGTATCAAGAGCGTAAAGGGAAGTCAAGAAACACAATTGTTCCAAAGTTCCAACTCTGTTGCAAGGGAGGAAAAATTGTACTTCCAATGCTACAGACACCACCTATATTAGAAAGACTTCTGTTTGATTACATCCATCCAGAAGCTAAACATTTCCAGAATAACATTCGAACATACAATGCAATATTTTCATCCACATCACCTGGAATGAAATTCAACACAACCAATACTAAGGGGGTCCACCTACTTTCCGACTACATGGTTAAACTTGCCACCGAATCGGAAGTTTGCTCTCTGAGATAGGACTAGGATGGATAATTACATCCAATAATCTTTTTCGTCCAATAAAGAATAAACTAG